AAGTGTAGTTGAGCTGTTGTGTGTTTGTGTCTCCGTGTTCATGCAGTAAAATGGCAGGAGCTAGAGTTTTTCAGGATGAGTTCATGTGTTCAGTGTGTCTGGATCTCCTGAAGGATCCAGTGACCATCCAGTGTGGACACAGTTACTGTAAGAGCTGTATTACAGGCTGCTGGGATCATGAGGATCAGATGAGAGTCTACAGCTGCCCTCAGTGCAGACAGACCTTCAGTCCAAGACCTGCTTTAGCTAGAAACACCATGCTGGCTGAAGTGGTGGAGAAACTGAAGAGCAGGAAACGTCCTTCTGACTGTGACGCTGGAGCTGGAGATGTGCAGTGTGACGTCTGTACTGGAAGAAAATACAAAGCCGTCAAGTCCTGTCTGGTGTGTCTGGAGTCTTACTGTCAAACTCATTTTGAGCAGCATGAGGAGTTTCACTCAGGAAAACGACACAAAGTGACTGAAGCCACGGGACGACTGCAGGAGATGATCTGCCAGAAACATGAGAAGCTCCTTGAGGTTTTCTGTCGCACTGACCAGAAATGTATATGTATGCTGTGTACGATTATTGAACATAAAAACCATGACATTGTATCAGCTGCAGACCAGAGGACAGATAAACAGGTATTTTAAACTAACGATCAAATTCATACTCAGTGCAGTGATCCAGTAATCTTTTATTTTCCACATCTTAATTACACAGAAACACAGTCAATGTGAAGCTCGATGTCTGTGTCAGTTTCACTTTTATAATACTTAGGCTTCCAGTGTGAAACAAGCCTTAATCTTTATGTTAATTAATGTATGATTCATGCATTGTAACTGATTATCACTTCTAGAGTTTGAATCTACAGTCATTGTTTATCAGCTCCTGGATTACTGGATTCATCTGTTCACATGATGATTTAGAGGCAGTAGTTTTCTGTGAGATTCACTATCATCTGTTTGTCCTGCAGAAGCAGCTGAAGGAGACGCAGAAGATGCTCCAGCAGAGAATCCAGCAGAGAGAGAAAGATCTTCAGCAGCTGAAAGAGGCTGTGGAGTCTCATAAGGTGAGTCTGGAGAAGAAGAGAAGTTTGTCTCCGTCTCAGTTCAGACTCACTGAAACCTGAATCACTGTGTGTCCTAACAGCGCTCTGCACAGACAGCAGTGGAGGACAGTGAGAGGACCTTTACTGAGCTCATCCGCTCCATTGAGAGAAGCCGCTCTGAGCTGATACGGCTGATCAGAGATCAGGAGAAGACTGCAGTGAGTCGAGCTGAAGGACGACTGGAGCGACTGGAGCAGGAGATCAATGATCTGAGGAGGAGAGACGCTGAGCTGGAGCAGCTGGAGCACACACAGGATCACATCCAGTTCCTGCAGGTAACACAGATCTAGAAGAACAGGATCATAGTGGACTTGAGCAGATCCTGCTGTGACAGAGACTCACAGAGAAACAGTTCATGAGTGTCTTATTATATAATCATCAGTCAGACTCTCATCTGATCGTCTTCTTCTGAAAGAGACGCCGCTTACAAATGGCTTTCAGCTCTGGAAATCTGGAAATCTCTATTTCTCTTAACTCTTTCTTCTGGAAGATATATTTAGCTGTCAAACACCACTAGCGCCACCAACAGTTCAAAACTTCACTTACATTTCAACTTTTTACTTCATGTTTCCTTCTAATTTATTACATCATGGTTAAATCAGTGAACTCGATAGCACAGATTCTGAGTAACATTCATCAAAATTGGATCAGGTGATCTTCAAACTTGATAAAATAGATTTTTATTGGCCTGTAACACATTGATGAATTCGACCATGAAGTCCGCAAACATGAAGTGAGGCTGTATATTAGCAATGCTTCAGTGTATTGAATCCAAACCAAACCTAAGCGCGTCTTAAGAGTCCGTGTGAAGTGTCAGTGTCTCTAAAGTTATAAATAATGCTCAATCTAATCATAGCCTTTGAGCTGCTTTTCCTGAGCAAATCTGCTCAACTCTACAATGAGACTCCATTGATGTGCTTGAGCTGTTAGATGGACATTTATGTTCTTAGCAGATGTTTTATCATCCAAACTGTTTCCAAAGTGTCAAATCCATCCAAAGTGTCAAATACTAAATCTGTAGCTCTAATGTGATTTAATGAATATGAGGAGAATGAAGCTGATGCTGTGAAAGTGTTGGATTGAGGAGAGTTACTAAAGATCAGTTGAGTCAAATCTGATGTTGCTGCAGGTTATTTGGTGAAGTGTGGAGCTGATGAGTTTGATTTCTGTTTTCTGTAGAGTTTCCAGTCTCTCTCAGCACCTCCTGAATCTACAGACGTAAATGATGATCTCTTCAGTTCTCTCGTCTCTTCTGATGCTCTGAGAGAATCTGTTCATCAGCTGAGAGACAAACTGGAGGATTTCTGCAAAGAGGAGCTCAAGAAGATCTCAGACAGAGGTAAAGTCCTGCAGATTCATCTGCTCTCAGAAACCAGTCCATCATCAGCTCATATTATGGAGAACATCATATTAGAAATGTGTTAGGAATAGATGCAGGATCATGAGAATCACACTGTTCATGTCTGTTGATTTCCACAGAAACACTCACCAACATTGTTCCCAGAACCAGGAACCACTTCCTACAATGTAAGTCAGTAAGAAAACCAGCAGAAAACTCACTGAGTGTGTTCATGTTCTTCTGTAGAAGCTGAAAGAAGAGCTTATAATTGATGTAAATCAGTGGTTCTCAACTGGTTTGGCCTCGGGACCCACGTTTTCCCGTCGTCATCAAGCCTTTATATACTTTTATATACTGTGTATATATATTTGTTAAAAACAAAAACAAAGCAAATTTATTTAGCAAAAAATGAAGTTAAGACTGTTAAGAGTATGACTAATACTGAATAAACAGCCTATAAGGTAAGGCTATTAAATAGCAGTCCTACACTAGTTTATGTTAATACAGTTAAGTTGGTTTGAGGCACCACAGAATCATTTAAACATACAAAGTGAAAATAACATGGTAATTTTGGGTTATGGAAACAACTG